ACATTAGTGTTATCACAGCTTCCTTCAAGAGCCACAAAGGAGGCTGAAGAGGGCCACATGTTGCCCAAGAGAGATATCGCTCTGACATGTCTGCAATAAAATATTCACAGAGGGGGAAAAAAAAAAGTCCCCGGCTCCGGATTTCATATCGGTGTCACGAACACACTGCATCCCTCGGGGGCCCATACGTTTCATCCTGGGGTCCCACAGTTGATATGAGGCCTCCCAGGCTTCCACTGACCGCTCACAGGCTGCAGTGTGATGAGTGTCATTGGCTGCCTGGCCTCTGACATCCACCAATGACTGACGAGGACAGCACTGGGCAGAGCTCCGACATGGACCACCCCCTGCAGACAGAAGTCAGTGAACCCCTCCCCCATATTTACCTGGACCCGGCACTGCGGACAAGTGCGGCTATACATTGAGGGAAATTTATCAGATCTGGAGCAGTTGCCCAGGGCAACCAATCCAGTTTTGGTAAATACCCCCCTATATATAAAGTGGGAGGGAGGGGTATACCAGTGTTGGTGGTGTATATAAAGTGGTGGGTGAGGGGTATACCAGTGTTGGTGGAAGGTGTGCCCGCAGTTGATGGCCGCCACATCTCTCTGGTGATCGAAGTAGTCGGAGCAGATCGTACACAGGGCCCGGATCGGCATTTTCTCCTGATCCCCTCACCAAACGATTTGTTTTTACCGCGGTCCTCTACGGACGCTGCACGTCACTGCGTCATCACGTCACCCCGCTGGCAACGTCTTTACTCATTGGCTTAAGTGGATGGAGCGTACGTTTGGGGGCGGGGTACCAGGGGAAAGATTGACTTGAGACCCCACCTATAGAAAGCGAGGAGCTCCGCCCACCGGCTGACAGATCTTATTGCATGGCTGACACAGATTTCCATCCCGGATACAATGAGGGGTATTTACCAATACTGGAGCAGTTGCCCATGGCAACCAATCAGCATCCACCTTTCACTTTCAAACCTTAACTGAAGAGAGAAGCTGATTGGTTGCCGTGGGCAACTGCTCCAGATTCTTCTGCTCCAGTTTTGATACATTCCCCCCAATGTATATCATTTTTTACCATTCTTTATATAATATTATTCCATCTTCCCAGAACTTCTGTTGTTATATTTTCCTCTTTGTTTTCACCTGGTGATCCGGCTAGTTACACTTCCTGTCGTAGGGTGACAACGCTCGCTCACTGTACTGAATCTATGGAGGAGCAGCGTTGTCACCCAAGGACAAGACTACAGAACACCCCCTCCATAACATGTGTAAGGCTGATAACATTGTTGGTGCTTCCACCTCAGCTCAGAGGAAGGAAGTGACCACGACTCTGGATTTCAGGCGGGATCGACAGATTTTAACTAGAAATAGTAAACCTAGAGAACCCGTCTCATCTCAGGACTATAAGATGGAATGTATTATATTTTTGGGCTTGGATATCCTTTTCAGGATTGTATTGATGTGTCTCCGTTGAGGAGATTTCTCCTCACTTCCTGTCTATTTCAGGAAAATGAAGTGATGTCATTGTTGCCTGGAGGAGGAGATGGCAGTCTAGTATTCCCTGGGGACAGAACGGTGTTGAGGAGGAGACTAGTAATCTCGGGTGGCAGTGGGGGAGAAGGGTGCTGTCTTTGGATTGGGGGGCACCAGGCTAGTACCCTCTGGAGTAATAGGCGGCTACTGGAGGGGTTTCCTTTTCCTCCGGTGTTGATTCTGGCCTGGTAATGCCCGTCTTGTCCCCTGTTATAGGCAGGAACCCCTCGAGTGTTAATGCCCTCTGGTGGGGGTGCCCTTGTCTGGCCGAAGGGCTGGAAGCATTGGAAGCTCCGGGTGATGTGCCTCCTGGGGATGGGGTCACAGGGGTGCCAGAGAAACACAGAGGGTGGGGGGACCCCAAAAGTGTGGCACATGGTCACCTCTCATTGCTTGTCTTGGACACGCCTCCTAGGTCTGGAGTCTGCCCCTGTCAGGAGCCTTTCCCCCTCGGGGGGTCAGGAAATCAAGGTCCTTCCTCATCAGAAGAGGACCAGAGCACCCTCGTGCACTTTTTTTTTTCACCATTCACTCTTTTTGTTCTCGGGGGTTTGTTTTACGAGGTGCGCACCGCGGAGCTTCATATAGAGACACTAATGAGCTGATCTCTGTATTTATGGCATTTCCTGTAAATGAATTCTGAGAAGGCTGGAGCCTAACATGTGGCCCTTTGGCATTTATTGTGTGGCCCCCGGGGGGCCCCTGCAGACAGTTTTCTGTGTCCTGGCTCTTACTCAAACCAGTGAAGAAAAAAATATATTATCTGGGTCAGCTTCGTGTGAAGGAGCCATTGTGTGACTGTCCTCTGTACCGGCCGTACGGGGTATTCTAACGCTCAATGTAGAGGAAAGGGGAGAGACCCCCCAAATTTCTGGCTGCATTATGGAAATAAACTTCTGGGGTTCAGTCACAGGGACCGCGTGGAGTCAGGACTCAGGGACTGGTGTTGGTTGTTACCTGTGTGACCCTTTTATTCATTCATGCTTTTGCAGCTTCTGGAACCCTCATGTTTCCCTTTCTATGTTCCTAAAAGGTGCTGAAAGCCAGAACAGGAAGTCGGCTGTGCGTACGGAAATAACGTCCCCTCATGGCCCTCCCTTTACCTGAATCCCGTCACTGCTGAACATCGTGTCAGGTGTCGTTCTGGTAAGTTCCATAAGCTGAAGGCGACCATTTGTTGTATAAAATGTTCTCTTATCATTGTAACAATCACTTTTTAGGTCCATTTAAGAGGATCTGGTTGGTCATTATAAGTTATGTTTCTGCTTTTCCCTTCCTGTGTTTTATTATCCACCTTAAAGGGTATTTCCACTTTTGCAGCCATATTGGGGTAACATTATATGTGTTACATCTTCCCATCCACATATAATAACTTTACAATTAGAAAGTGTTGCCCATATGTGTACTTGCTGTCAAATCTTAGCT